GAGACCAGCGTGCGATTTGTAGCCACCGGGTCCGGGACCCGAACCGTGGTCGACTACGTGAGAGTCCAATGACATAGCCATTACGCTAACGGCTGGTTCCCAAAATTGGCAGTTTTTAAGACACATAAATTTATCCTCTTATAGTTCTGGAGGCCGGAAGTCCAAAATCCATTTTACTGGGCTAACATCTAGCAGGACTGGTTCCTTCAGGAGACTCCAGGGCAGAATCTGTTCCCTGCCTTTTCCAGCTTCTGGTGACTGTCAGCATTCCTTGGCTGTGGCCGCATCATTCTAATCTTTGTTTCTCTGTCACATCACCTTCCCTTCCCCTGTGTCACATCCCTCTGTGCCTCCCTCTTATAATGATACTGGTCATACATCACCATAAGGACTATCCAGAGTAATCTATCCAGTTCAAGATCCCTAACTTAGTCCAGTTGCAAAGACCTTTTTGCTGTGCAAGGGAGCATTCATAGGTTCCCAAGATTAGGATCTGGAAATCTTGGTGGGGAGGGAGGCATAATTCAGCCTACAACAAGTGTTGATTTTGTATTAAAAAGAAAAGTGTAGAAAAAATCTGGAAGAAAATTCTTAAACATGGTATCAGTGGTTGTCTATAGATGATGGTTTTAGAGTCATTATTTTTGTTATCTTCTTTGTCTCCCACCTTTTCTGTGCTAAGGAAGTTAACTCTTTTATTGCCCTCAGAAATGCCTAGGGGACCTTCACTCTACAATTGTAGAGCACTGCAGGCTGAGTGACAGGCTCCTGTGCTCTCTCCGCAGAGCCCGTGTTCTGGTACTACGTGAAGGAGGTCCTCAACAAGCACGAGCTGCAGCGCTTCTGCTCTCTGCGCCACATCACCTCGGACGTGGGCCGTGGCCGGGCCTGGCTGCGCTGTGCCCTCAATGAACACTCCCTAGAGCGCTACCTACACATGCTCCTGGCTGACCGCAGCAGGCTCAGGTACTTGGCTAGGATCGGTTCTGGGAGGGGGTGAGCTGAGGCCTGAGGACTGCAGAATCTGGAGTCAGACCACCTGGATTTGCATCCCAGTACCCCCACTTGGGGCAAGTAGATCCCCCCATTTCAGTCCCCATTTGTTCTGCTGTGCAGCGGGACACTTGGCAAGAAAATAAGTGAGAAGATTCCTGTACAGGCTCAGACTGGTGGCTCTGTATAGCAAGCACTCAGTGTTTATCATTAGGAAGGCTTGGAGTGTGGAGAGAGCTGTTGTTTTTAGGATGCAGTCTGCTCTTCACTTGGTGAAATTTAAATTTGGGATTCTTTTAGTCAATCTCAAACTGACTGAAAAAATATAGAAGTTGTAAGTTGGGGGAGGAAGTCATTTGTTTTTTATTAAAAACTTTGTTTTATTATGCTTTTTTTCTTGATCATAAGCATAAGGTCCATTTTATCAGTTAGTATGGGTCAGGTTATGGTACAGTAACAAACATCATGAAGTCCTCAGAAGCTGAGACAACTTTGCCCCAAGCAGAGGTCCTGGGATGCAAATCCAGTACCAAGTTTATTGCTTCCTTGTGCTACATATCTTTCCTGGGCGAGTATGAGTGTTCTCATCTCAGGGACCCAGGCCAGTTGAAAGCTCTACCTCTACATATGCCCTCATGATTGCCAAGGTAGGAAATGAGAAAGATTTGAACTAAGCAGTGGCTCTCAAAGCTTCTGCCCGCAGTGATAGTGCCCTTACATCTCATTGGCCATTGTAGGTCACATGGCCACACCCAAACCCAGCATAATGGGGAGATGTTAGTTGACCCAGAGCATGGGGAGAGAGCACTGAATAGGGTGACTGTAGTCAATCACAATTCCCTTGAAAGCATTTGAAAATGCTATAGAATCTGCTGGGGTAAAAACTTAAATCTCTCATAATTTGTGTAGCGATAACTCTGCCACTTGTATTTTTTTCTTGTTTTCCTTGATGTTTATGGTATCTCTTGCTCTGGTGGTTATTTTCCCTCTGAAAATGGTGGTCTAGAAGTATGTTGTGTTGTGTCCTCTGATGATCCAAAGGGATAGTGATCAGTCCTGCCCTGGCTGCTTGAATACTATTCACGTCGGCGGTGAAATTTCATTTAACTCATCAAGCTGGCATCCTGTCTGTTCTGGGATGCTTCATCCTCTTTATTCCATATCTTACCATGTGCCCCTGGTCCAGCTCTCCTCTTAGGCCACTTTATTGCTGTGGTCACCTCTGCTCCAGGCATTTCTTGGGTGTGTGAGGACTGTTCCTTGGTTCTTGGAAATACCCTTGGGGTGCCCCTGCGGCACCTTGTCCAATTGTATGGTAAGACTCTGTGGGCCTGAAGCAGGGGTGTTGGGGACACAGGACAGCTGATACTGCTGTGCTTGTGCTCAGGGTTGGAGTTCAGAGGCTGAGAATGTGTTTTCTAACCATTAACTGGGGGTTGTTAAGGAGAACAGACTCCTGTTTTTTTTAAAATGAGTTTCTCTGAAGCTCTTTCCAATATATTATTGGCAAATAGTTCGGAGTTCTTTATTCACTATCAAAGTTGCACTAAAGAAAAGAAAGAAAAGAAAAGAAAAGAAAAACAAATCGGGACCAGCAGTTAGCATAATGGCTATGGTGCTGGACTCCCATGTAGTCGACCACGGTACGAGTCCTGGAGCCGGTGGCTTAAACTCACACCGGGTGCTTATGCATGCGTGCCCAAGACCCTGAGAGGAGAATGGAGGAGGAGGGATTGCGGTGTGGCCATCCCCCCTGGGGGGTGATTTCTCACTTTCTGTCTCTCTGTCTCTGTCTGTCTGTCTGGTGAGTGCAGGTACCCTATAGCTTAAAACCTCTCCAAAAAAAGAAGGAAAAAAAAAACCTTGCACTTAAGGCCTAGCCATGGTAGTGCATGCTGCTAAGACACTGCTCCGCAGGCCGAGCCTATGTGGGAGACTAGATTGGATTCCCAGTCATACCCAAAGGCTAGATGTGGTGGCATGAGCCTGTAATTCCAGTGACTTGGAAGGATAAGGCAGAAGGATTGTAGGCTTAAGTCTAGCCTGGGTGACAAAGTGAGACTGTCTAAAAAAGGAGCTGAGGGCCAGCAGGTGGCATGGTTAGGGTGCTGGTGCTGGATCTCACATGGCCGACTCCACAGTTTGAGTCCTAGATCTGGTGGCCTGAAAAACACACCAGGTGTGTATGTGTGCATGCCTCAAATCCTGAGAGAATGGAGGAAAAGGGATTGTGGTGTGGCCATCCTCCTGGGAGTTGGTTTCACACTTTCTGTTTCTCTCTCTGGTGACCGTATGTGCCCAATGGCAAAAATCTAAAAAGGAAGCTCCCAAACCAACAAAACTAGGTGTAGTGGCATGTGCCTGTAGTCCCAACTTGAGAAGCTGAAGCAGGAGAATCATGGCACAGAGAGAGCCTGCCTTAAAAAAAAAAAAAAAAAGTAAAGTTGAATTTAACAATCAGAACTTGAAGTGCCTCTGGAAGTTAAGAATCACAGTTGAATTTATCTAAATCACCAGCCGCTTTCCTAACTCTGGTGGGGAAACTACATTCATTTACATACATGAAAATGGGCTGAGGTTTTCAAAGGATCACCATTTTGGGAATCAGAGGTGCAATTGAAATGGCAGCTTGACATGTGGCCTGTGCTTCTACTAACATTGCGCTGGGTAAGTATACTGAAATGTGCGTCATCTCTGTCAGTCCGGTTCAGACCCTTGAGCTGCTAACTGTTCCAGTCTCTTGTTGAATGACACGTCATTTATCACTAACTTTGCTTTAGTGAAGTTGAGCTTTGACTCCATTAACTTGGAAATCTGTGACCAGCAGGGCAGTCATGGCCCTGAGGGGATTTTGTTGTTACTGCTTAGTAGGGAGTCACATGAGAGCTTGGAAACTGGCCCTGAAAGCCCTGCTCTCATGCCCTGGCTTTACCATTTATTGGCCAGATAACCTTGACAGGCTGTAGACTTCTCTGATCTTTCACAGCTGCCATTTAGATTTGTGGGGCCTTTGTACCCTCCCAGCCCTTTCTAGAGACAACCTAGGTTTTCAGATCTGTAGCTCAGACAGGTATTGTATGTCAGTGCCGTGGAGCTCCTTAATTTCTTTCTGAAGTTGTCTCTTAGCCAGAGCAGGTGAGCCCTAATGGCCAGTTTAGATTTCCATTCTGTCTGGGGGCCTCACGTGAGTGGAAGTCACCTCTCTGTCTTCTGCTTTGCTGCTTTGTAGATACATTTACATATCATGTCTATTTCAGTACTTTAAAGCTTGGGGTCTCAAGGGACCAACGAGGAAGTTGTCGGATATACGTGTTCAATCCTCTGTCTATAACCAGAAGCTTTAGACCAGCAAAGACCTCAGACATACTCTATCCTCTCTGGATGACCAGCACACATTGTCTAGGGAGCATCCATTGGAATCATCTGCCTAATGGCCACAGAGAACCATTTCTAAGAACTTTTTCCTTTTTTCTTTCCATTTACAGCACTTTTTATGAAGATTGGTCTTTTGTGATGGATGAAGAAAGGTCTAGCATGCTTCCTACCATGGCAGCTGGTAAGCATGGCCAAGGCCAGTGTCCTTGGCCAGCAGAGGGGTTTGTCGGGGAGTGGATTAATAATCTTAGGGTCCTGTGATTCTCCCTGTCACTGACTTAATGGGTCACCCCCAGCTGTCTGCCTGTAGTGGCATTGAGCGTCCAGCTCCTTTATGTAGAATCTGATACCTTGACAGAGACGACATGGGGTGGGAGGTTTGGGGTTGTTGTGACTTTGCAGGTCTAATATACAGCCCTGGGAAATTGGAGGCAGATCTTCCTTTGAATCCTGCCTCTACCTCTTGCGGGGTGATGACATGGGGAAGATCCTGTGAGCTTTATTACCTTCCTTTCATTCTCTGTGAGGGAGGATCTTGATAGTTCAGCAGTCATCTTTTTATTTCTTTTTCTTTTTTTGAAGAGGTTTTTGCTATAGGGTGCGTGTGTTCGCCAGAAAGAGAGAGACAGAGAGACAGAAAGCGAGAAATTCCCCCCAGGGGGGCCAGCCACACCACAATCCCTTCTCCTCCATTCTCCTCTCAGGATTTTGAGCTTGCATGCACACGTGCCCAGTGTGAGTTTAAGCCTCCGGGTCCAGGATTTGAACCGTGGTCGACTACATGGGAGTCCAGTGACATAATCATTATTCTCTCTGCTGGTCCTGAGGGGGAATCTCGATAGCTCAGCAGTCATTGAGCTCTGAGAGAATCACATGTAATAAAGAGTCATGATTTGTCAACATACAAGCCCTGGGTTGATGTTATTTGGTGGGTTGGCAAGTTATTAGCCATGTGACTCTCACTCAAAGGATGAAATTGGGCAACTTGTTTCTTTCTTCCAAATTCTTTGATGCCTTTTTATTTTCCCTAAAGTTTACACTAAGTCCCACATATTGAGGGGTAAGTTAATCTTGCCCGCTGATGGGAAGCAGAGTTTGACCACTACTTCCTTGTAGGCCGTAGGACCCAGGGTAGGTATTTGCCTAAAGTAACTATAATGATGTAATTGGTATACGCTATTTTTTTTTTTCCATAATAGAGCATGAACACTCTAAAGTAACTATAATGATGTAATTGGTATACACTAATTTTTTTTTCCATAATAGAGCATGAACACATGCCTGTGAGAGTGAGAGAGAGAAGAGCACCCTCCACAGTATTGGGTCATGCCATCATCCCCCTCATCAGGTCCACAGAGAGACAGAGTGAGGGAAAAATGATAAATACCCCCTGGGGGGATGCCATGCTGTAATCCCTTCTCCTCCATTCTCCTTCTGGGATTTTGGACACACATGCACATGCACCCAGTGTGCTTTTCTTTTTTCTTTTTTTCAAGCCTCCTCCACACCCCCCAAATCATTCCTCCCATACAAAACCTGGGCCCTAAAACCAGGCTGAAGTACCCAGCTCCCGTGTTCAAATCTGACAGTGAATACTGCTGGGCGGGCCCATCCGGAAGTCCTTTCTACAGTGTAACCTCCATCCCTCCTCTGCACAGCCTGCGCGGCCGCTTTATTTTTCTGCACACCCATTATTCTTCACAGTGCAGAGGCCCGCCCCCAGGACATCTCTGGATGTTCTCAGAGTGGAGCTAAGTGCTCCAGCCCCTCTCCTTTGGCTCCAGGCCCC